ACATCCATACTGGGTCAGACCAAAGGTCCATCTAGCTCAGTATCCTGTCTTCCACAGTGGCCAATGCCAGGTATCCCAGAGGGAATGAATAGGTAATCATCAAGTGATCCATCCCCTGTCACCCATTCCCAGCTTCTGGCAAACAGAGCCTAGGGACACCATCCCTGCCCATCCTGACTAATAGCCATTGATGGACCAATCCTTCATGAACGTATCTAGTTCTTTTTTGAACTCTGCTATTGTCTTGGCCTTCACAACATCATCTGGCAAGGAGTTCCACAGATTGACTGCTTTGTGTGAAGAAGTACTTCCTTTTGCTTGTTTTAAACCTACTGCCTATTAATTTCATTTGGTGACCCCAGTTCTTGGTATTGCTAGATCTTGCTACAAGGACTGACCTTGGGTCTGGCCACACTGCAGTGAGTTCAGGACCTGAGCACCTGAGCACCTAGAGGTAGCAAAGGTGACGCTAGGTCACTTGTATGTCCCCTTGATCCTGACCCCAGACAGCATTTGCCCCTTCTGACTCATGTACCTTGTAAAGCTAAGTTTGTAACACCAACCAGGCAAACAGTATTTTACAGATGCGGGGGACGGGGACGGGGACGACGTATTCTAGCAATCAGCAGAGCTCTTCTTGTCAATGGGTCGGTACTTGTTCACTGCCATTGTATTTTCGTTATTCCTGAATGAGGCCACGAAGTACAAGTCTGATTATAATAATTTATTATGTTTACTTTTCAGGAGTTCAAACAACTTTCATAGTTGCACAAGTGAAGGACATCGCACTAAACCTTTGGCTTTCTATCTGATGAACCTTGGAATGACAGGGCACAGTTTCTGATGAATAATTACACCGCCATGAGTCTTTCCATTACCAAGATTAGTAGCCAACAGTTGTAAATGGGAAGGCAAGCGATCATTGAATAGTACGTATAAAGAAACTCGGATGCAGGTAAGATTATAAAGCGATCTCCCTTTCATGCAACTGATAGAACCAGTAACTAATTATTATAATGAGCTAATCAGCACAGAGACTTCCCTTTTCCAAGCAAGGAATTAGGCCTGCATTTGATACTGCTCGGAATTCACTTTGCAGGAGGCTGTCACTGTATCTTATATCCTCTTGTATTCCTTAATCGTGACATCTTTTCTTCGGTGTCTTCTACAGCGGCACCCACCTGGTGATCTTGAAACGGCCAGCAAAGATGATTTGAGAACATTTAATAAATGTATTTATTTAGGGCAGATGAAACCCTCTAGAATTTCTTCCCACTACCTGGCTGCTCTCAAAGCAAATACACTTGACACGAAAACAAGGTGCAGTCGTGAAAAAGTCAGAAGTCTCTCTTTATCCCAGTATCCTGTCTCTCGGCAATTCATCAGCATGTACAATCCGGGCACCAGTAGGTAACATCCGGGCGTGGGTGCTCTTGCATATTACAGCGAGACTTCAGAGATTGGGAACAATTGCTGCATCTTTATCTCTCTGGCTCAGTGGCTCTTATTGCACCAGATTTCCAACGTCTGAGCAAATTCATTACTACTTCTCAATGGCCTGGGGTTCTAGCTGAGCGTGTCTTGTGTGGTGGCGGCGCAGCGCTGGGAGAGAGTTCTCCCAGCGCTCCAAAAAAACCACCTCCGGGAGGGGCGCAGCTACCAGCGTTGGGGCACTGTCTACACTGGTGCTTTACACCACTGAAACTTGCTGCGCTCAGGGGGGTGTTTTTTCACACCCCTGAGCGAGAAAGTTGCAACTGTAAATTGTCAGTGTAGACAAGCCCTGAGATGTAAAATCACCTCTCATGCAGTCATTGTGCCGGCAGGTCTGTGCACCTCGGGTTTTGCTAGTACTGGGGACTTTGCGAAGGCAGAAAAGCGGAGCAATGTCTATTTTATCCTCCCCCGGGCAGAGGCGGACGGTGAAAGCCTGGCCCCACTGAAGTCAAGGGGATTTTTGCCCCATTGGGTTTTCACCCTGTTTCCCACCCTGTGCCTCGCGCACTGTGAACACAATTTAACACTTAATGAAATGAATTAGGACGAACCCTGCAGTGTCGTGCTGGCTGGGATTTGGCACCTCTTTGCCACTCGCCCCTTGCAGCTTCTAGCACCGTCCCAAAGTTTCCTTTATCAAGGCCAGGGAGCCTGACCACCAGACGGCCGGGCTGGCTCCCTCCCGGGTGTTCCGAGCAGGGGGCCCAGCCAGGTCATGAGAACTGGGGGACGCTGCTGTTCTTTGGAGGCTGACTGGGGAGAGACGCCTCTGCTGATCACTGCGTGACCCTTGGGGCGGCTGGGCGGCTGCCAGAGAAACTGATTGACCAGAGGGCTGTCGCTGATTGATGAAGATCCCGCTGCTTTTAGCTCTTCGATCCTAGCAGTACCGCTGCATTCACTAGAGCCACTTCTTTACAAAGGCGGAAGGTTTTTCTAAACCTAATGGGCCAGGCTGGGTTTAGGGCTCTGTTCCTCCCCAAGCAGTTAATTCGAGGTCATATTCTGTAGGACAAGGTCACATACAAGTGTGCTGCAGAAGGTGTGCTCCTATTATCGCTGCTCGCCTACCTCTCTCTGCCTTGCAGCTTTTCCTTTCGTCCGAGGCAGCCATTCCAGCATGCACAAGGGTTATGTTTTGCTCATCATGGTCTTAATCCTGCTACCCATGAGCTTCTTCCCTCTCCCCCCCCCCCAAAGAGCCAGTAGGAGGAACAGTTACTAATAGGAAACTCCCTTCTAACTGCTATTGTATGAATATCAATTCTTCTCTGAAAATACATAATTCCTACATACTAGAGCCACTGGGGTGAAGCTAATTGGAGCTGTTTCTAATATAATACAAAGCTTTATATGTTTTTACATTTCATACGGAATGAAAACAAATCTATGATCGTTTCAAGTTTCAGCCTTTATCTGGTGAGAAGAATCCCTCTGAAGGGACTTTTTCTACGTGGATCGAAAAATAGATCCAAATCTTTCCAGTTCCTTCGAGCTGGACTTCCCCCAGCACACTGGCTGCCCCTCAGCATAACAAATGAGGGTTATTTTACAGCGGCCCACGGGGGTTGTTTCATTCCTCTTCATGTTTCTGAATAAAACCTACCGAACTAAAACTCGAACCTTATTCTTTTCTTTTACACGTCGGTGGGTTCAGTCCAAAAACAGGATTTCCCAAGAAATAGCTCTGACAAAGGCCTTTGTTCACTACTATGAGACACATTTTACTCTTATGTTATCAAAATTTTGTTAAATGCTTTGAAGTCCAGTCATTTATTACTTTTCCTGTCTTGCTTGCTGATATAGGAAGGATATGTTTCCATTTTTGTTTTGATCTGTTCAAATGCTTAGTAATACATTGGAAAGTGAATTTCGGTAAATCTCAACAGACTCTGCTGAGCAAAATATTGCAGTGTTAATCACAGAGGTAATCTTTCCCTAATCTGATGTGTAATCCATTTTACCCCAGTGAGAATTTTTAACACTTTAATCAATTAGAGTCAGCTAGAGAATTATTAACAGAACCTCGGCAAAATGACTGCATTCGTCAGAGGAGCAGTGTGGGGGGGGGGGAGGGAGGGAAGTAAAATCCGATATGTTTAAAATCGATACACACCCAAACGCAAGAAGTTGATGTAATTTATTTTGATGTTAGAGCGTCTTAATTTCAAACGCCAATAAAATAATAAAATAACACTCGAGCAATCCATCAACCATATGCCTGCTTTTAAAATAACTCTTAAAACGGCGTAAACTCACAGACTCTCTGAATACATTGTATTACTACTTAAATACACGGTGGAAAAATATTTAAGTGACTTGACAAAGACACCAAGTATCAAGGAATGAAATATACCTCTTCGGACGGCATACTTCGCGTCTGTAGATTTTGCGAATGTGATCTGTGTGAGTTAATGCTCCATTTCAAAAGTGTTTGATAAAGAAATAAAGATATTAAGGGGATGGCATGCATTTGCTGTTCAGCACCTTGTGTAGTTAAAAAGTCACCAGTGAAACAGATACTGTTCAAAATCTAGAATGACATGTTCACATTCTATAACAGAAGAAAGGGAAATACGTTGCTTTCATTAATTTTCTAAGAGCCCCCTAAGGAATGACAGTAGCAAAATGCTTTGTGACAGTCCAGGTGGATGTGAATATCGAACATCTCAGTCTGAGCAGAGGATGAACTCACGGTGCTTTAGGCTTCGTGCTCTCTAGGGCAGGTATCATCACCTTCCTCATAAGAGACTGAAGAATTGTATCATGCTAAGAGGCGCTCATCAAAGCCATGTTAGGGTCCACGATCTCTAAGACGCGGGGAATCTACAGCGTGGCGACAAACTAGCCTTGCTATTTCCCCTTCAGTTTGCTGAGTGTTGCGTTATAGGTAAATAGCACCGGGACGGGAAGGGCCACCAAGGGAGTCCTGCCCACAGTCCCGGTGATCTGGCGCAGATAAAATCACTCCGAGCTGCTACTGCTTTTCATCACCTCTTCCCCAACTCGGCCTGCATGTGCCCTGAGCAGGGGCGAGTGCAAACACCTGAAGGTGCCATAGCAGCGCCAGGTAGAGCTGGGGCAGCAGCTGGGGCAGCGCCCCCCCTCCCCACCGCCTGGACCAGGCCCCGCCTCTCCCCTCATAGCTCAGGAGCTTTCTAGGTGTATGCACCCCCACCCCCCGCGCCTGAGTCTCTCCCTCTCCGTCTCGCTCTGATTGGCTGGCGCTGTTGGTTAATGGCACGCGCCTGTGGATGTAGTTATAAGAATCCTCGCGTGCCAGCCCTCAGCTCTAGCAAGTCCCCAGCAGCCTCCCTAGAGAGAGGCAGAGGCGCCGGGGCAGGGCAGCGCCCGCAGCAGGAGCTGGGGCAGCAGCAGCAGGAGGAGGCTCACCGGGAGCAGCCAGGGCGAGTGGCTCAGGAGCAGTAGGAGGCTCCTCGCGGCTGGGTCCCCGGGCAGCAGCGGGCGGCAGCCGCCCCAGCGTGCCCGGGCCAGGGCGCAGCATGGAGACGGTGCTGCTGGAGCATTTCCCCGGGGGGCTGGACTCCTTCTCCTCGCCCCCCTACTTCGACGAGGAGGATTTCTTCACGGACCAGTCCTCCCGCGACCCCCTGGAAGCGGACGAGTTCCTGGAGCAGGACGTGGACTTCCTGAGCCACCAGCTGCAGGAGTATTACCGGGACGGGGGGCAGGGCGAGGGGGGCTATTGCTGCGAGGCGGCGGCCGCCGCGGCCAACTTCTCTTCCTCCTCCTCCCCCTCCTCGCCCAGCTTCCCCTACGAGTGCTGCGGGGCGGCCGCCTCTGAGCTGCTGTCCCCCGGGGGCAGGCTCAAGGCGCTGAGCTCCGCCAAGCGGCGCCGGCGGGTGCGCTCCGAGGCCGAGCTGCAGCAGCTGAGGCAGGCGGCCAACGTGCGGGAGCGCCGGAGGATGCAGTCCATCAACGACGCCTTCGAGGGGCTGAGGTCCCACATCCCCACGCTGCCCTACGAGAAGCGGCTCTCCAAGGTGGACACCCTGCGCCTGGCCATTGGCTACATCAACTTCCTGAGCGAGCTGGTGCAGTCGGACCTGCCCCTGCGGAGCGCCAGCAGCGAGAGCCCCAGCCAGCCCAAGAAAGTCATCATCTGCCACCGGGGCACAAGTAAGTGGGCAGCACAGACACAGGCGCCCAGGTCCAAATTGCTCCCTGGCGTAACTCCGTTGGCTTCCCTGGAGTTACACCAGGGCTGGGTTTACACCTCCCCAGATACACACAAAGACAGGCTCACACATGCTCTCAGAGGCGCACACACAGCGCGTTCTCCTTTGAACCGTTTGTCTGAAGGAATGTGCACCTTGCCTGTTGCCACGACTTCTCTCCTAGCGCAAGACTGCAGCTTGGATAGAGAAGGGCACCTTGTAGAGGGTTTGAGACCATCCACAGCTAGGCTGACCGGTAGAAGAGGGAGGAACCTGGTATTTTCAAACCCAGGAAAGCTGTTATTCTTTGCATGCCACACGGTAATGCTTATACATTTAGCTGGGTTACCTGCATCACTGAAACGGCCAAGAGCAAAGAGAAGGGGTTCCTGGACTGGTTCCCACTGGTATATAGCAAAATATTTATTTTCCTACTGCTCTCTTTTTCCAGGATCACCTTCTCCAAGCGACCCTGATTATGGACTGCCTCCTCTTGCTGGACACTCTCTGTCATGGACTGATGAGAAGCAACTTAAGGAACAAAACATTATTAGAACAGCTAAAGTGTGGACTCCTGAAGACCCCAGAAAACTAAACAACAAATCTTCTCTAAACAACATAGAAAACGAACCTCCATTTGATTTTGCATCATGAATCGTGAATATTTTGACTGTAAATGCAAACATGACACCAGTGTATATTTGTATGTAAAAACCTATATTTTAAACGTAATTTAAAATTCAAAATCTAATGGCAATCAATGTTTTTATTTATCTATTTATTATCAAGTAGAGTTAATGAGGTGGTATTGTCTATTTGTATGTATAATTTATATAATTTATCCTGATTTTAAAATATGCAATAGTTTTATTCTACCAGCACCTTTCGATAAAACTGTTCGGAAAACACTTCCAAAATATGAAAATAATTTATTACCACATGTGGACTATTTCTATGTTTGTTAATAATAAATCCTGATTAAACCTTCTAAGGCAGTTTATTTTGTGGGACATCGATGCTAAGACTATCAGGCAATATAATATTGAACTCAAATAATAAAAAGTTGGAAGTTTCAGCTACATCACAGACAAGTTATCTTGTAGAAGCCAAATAAGACCTGTGGTGTTTAAAGGGGCATTTCCTCAAAAGAGGGATTTAGGGTTCAGGAATAGTTTCAGGCTGGTTACTTGGTTCAAACAATGGCAGCATTATATTGTATCCGTACCATGGCCTCTCCACCAGAGCTGACTAGCGTTCAGCATAAGAAGCGTTTTTGAGGGCTGATCTTACATCGGTGGCGGGCATAATTTTGCTTTTCACTCCACCCTCTTTAGACGTGCCCTCCTGAAGTGTTTTAAAGTCATGGCTTTGTCCATTTCAATGGGTACTTCCATTCCCCTCTGCTTCTTTACAATGACACGGAGCTGGTTGTGGTTTCCACCACCAAGAATGAGGCTGCTAGTGCAACACCAGCTTCACACGTACTCACGAATCACATTACTAAACGGAGTTTAGGACTAATCTACCAACGAGCACCTGACACACTGTTAGATAACTTCTGGGAAACAACCTGGTTAGGCTGCACTTAGCTCAGTACAACTCCAACGCTGTTGGGCTCAGTAAAATGAATGTGGCACCCCTTTAACAAACAAAGCCCCAAGAAGGAAGGGGACAAGGGACCAGCCCTGTTGTTTTACCGCGGTAGCCTGGCCAAGCTGTGTTGCACACCAGCAGCATTTCCTAGCACTGTGAGCACAGTGCTGGTGCTGCGGACAGGGCACCAGGGCCAGAACACACAGGGACTCGGCTGCACACGAATAGCACCACACGCCCAGCCCCTAACCCGGGACTAAATGGTGCAGGGTGGGGCTCGGGCACTCACAGGAGGACAGGAGCATTGTAAGGGGCTGCGCGCTGTCCGCGGACCAGTCTGTCTTCCAGGAAAAGCCTGATGCCAAGAAAGAGAGTAGCACCAACGCCCCATCCCCGTGGGTGCGTCATTTGAGCGAGGAGCTGCTCTGTGACTCGGAATAACTGGCCCGACGGTGCAGCCCTTACTCTGGTAAAGCGCCCGTTGACTTCAAAGCCCGAGCAAGGGCCGCGGGAGCTGAGATCCTTTGCTAGCGGCCCCTTGGCCCCCAGCTGGGCTGGGACGAGCCTCGGCGGATGCAGCGAGCTCGCCCCTTGGCCACTCCACCTGGCAGAGGAAAGTAGCCGCGAGCGCCTGGGGCCGGCGCGGAAAGTGTTAATGTGTTGCTGGGCGGCGGGGGCGAGGGGTGTTGCAGGGCCAGCGCTCGAACCTGGCTGGGGCGGGGGGGGGGGGGGGGGGGGGGGGGGGGGGGGGGGGGGG